AATGTATTAAGTTGTCCATTAGCAGTCAGGGCTATGCTGATCAAGTCACCATTTCTCATAGTGTCCATTTCACTTCAGGAGGTTTCCTTTTTTGGGTTCAGTCAGTTGTCACCGATCAGGGAGAACATATGGTATTTGTCCCTTTGGGACTGGCTTACTTCACTCAGCATGATGTGTTCCAGATTCCTCCATTTTGTTGCAAATGACTGGATTTCGTTGTTTCTTACTGCAGTATAGTATTCTAAAGAATACTTATCCCATAATTTCTTTATCCAGTCTACCGTTGATGGGCATTTAGGTTGGTTCCAGGTCTTGGCTATTGTGAATTGTGCTGCAATAAACATTAGGGTGCAGACCGCTTTTTTGTTTATCAATTTAAACTCCTTTGGGTAAATTCCAAGGAGTGGGATGGCTGGGTCGAACGGTAGGGTTATATTCAGGTTTCTGAGGAATCTCCAGACTGATTTCCATAGTGGCTTGACCAGTTTGCATTCCCACCAACAGTGGGTTAGTGTCCCTTTTTCCCCACATCCTCGCCAGCATCTGTTGTTGGTAGATTTCTGTATGTGAGCCATTCTAACCGGGGTGAGGTGAAACCTCATTGTGGTTTTGATTTGCATTTCCCTGATTGCTAGTGACCTTGAACATTGTTTCATGTGCCTGTTGGCCATTTGGATTTCCTCTTTTGAAAAATGTCTATTGAGGTCCTTGGCCCACCTCTTAAGTGGGTTGTTGGTTTTGTTTTTGTGGAGTTTCTTGATCTCTTTGTAGATTCTGGTTATTAACCCTTTATCTGTTGCATAGTTTGCAAATATTTATTCCCATTCTGTCGGTTGTCTCTTCACTCTCCTGACTGTTTCTTTTGCAGTACAGAAACTTCTCAATTTGATGCAATCCCAATAGTTGATTTTGGCTTTGACTGTCTGTGCCTCCCGGGTCTTTTCCAGAAATTCTTTGCCTGTGCCAATATCTTGAAGGGTTTCTCCAATGTTCTCTAATAACTTAATGGTGTCAGGACGTAGATTTAGGTCTTTAATCCACGTTGAGTGGATTTTTGTGTAAGGTGTAGGGTAGGGGTCTTGCTTCATGCTTCTGCATGTGGAAATCCAATTATCCCAGCACCATTTATTGAATAGACTGTCCTTGCTCCAGGAATTAGTTTTAGATCCTTGATCAAATATAAGTTGGCTGTAGATGTTTGGATTGATTTCTGGTGTTTCAATTCTGTTCCATTGGTCTATCCATCTGTTTCTGTACCAGTACCATGCTGTTTTGACTACAACTGCCCTGTAGTATGTCCTCTAGTCTGGTATTGTGATGCCTCCAGCTTTGTTTTTGTTGTACAAGATTGCTTTAGCTATTCGAGGTCTCTTGTGCCTCCATATGAATTTCAGCATCATTTTTTCTAGATCTGCGAAGAATGTCTTTGGTATCTTGATTGGGATTGCATTGAATCTATAAATTGCTTTTGGGAGAATGGACATTTTGATGATGTTGATTCTTCCAATCCATGAGCATGGAAGATTTTTCCATTTTTTGGTATCCTCTTCTATTTCTTTCTTTAAGGTTTTGTAATTTTCATCGTAGAGATCTTTAACGTCCTTGGTTAAGTTTATTCCAAGGTATTTGATTGTTTTTGTAGCTACTGTGAATGGGATTGATCTTAGCAGTTCTTTCTCAGTCATGGCATTGCTTGTGTATACAAAGGCTGTTGATTTTTGTGCATTGATTTTATATCCTGCCACTTTGCCAAACTTCTCTATGAGTTCCAATAGTCTCTTAGTAGAGTTCTTTGGATCCTCTAAGTACAGAATCATATCGTCTGCAAAGAGGGATAGTTTGACTTCTTCCTTCTTGATTTGTATTTCTTTGATTTTGAAAGACTGTTAAATCACTGAAACTTTAAATATATCTTACACAATCTTGTTTGTACAAAAATACAAGTTAAATATAAACGTAAAGCAATCATGATAATTTTATGCAAATCTGTTTTATGTGATCTTCAGTTATATATAAAAGTTTCTCGGTTCTGTTATTTGTGAAAAGATCAATACCAGATTGAATTACTATCTATTGGCAAAGGGCCCTAAAAAGCTTACTTTAGCATTAATCTTTTTTACATGGTTATGTGTGTTTCCTAACTTGAGATCACCTAAACACTGGAAAAAAAAAACAAAACCAAAAAACCAAAAAGGGCAGTGTGTCCATAAACCAACAAATAATTTGGCTGTAATGTATCATAAAACACAAAGAAACCTCAGGCATCTGTACAATAAACATCATGTACTACATACACACAGGTGTACGCATGCGTGCAGGCAGGCACGCATACACACGCAGCCACACATGCCCATCCTAAGACAGAGCCTAATGAGGATCTGCTTCCAGTTCAATATTCAGCCGTGCGTTTTTCCTTACTTCATCAAAGGAATAGCTTTTTGTCACCTTACCATTCTTGAAGACAGTATGGAGAAGATCATGACCGTATTCTTCAAGGTCTCCCTTTCCTTCTTCCAGTGTAACAAAATTCCCCGCTGGTGTCCTATGCAAAGATAAGCGGCCCTTTTTGGACCTTTTGTTGGGATCAGCGACCGGGTCCTTGAAGACATTAATCCCGAGACCGTTGGTTACAACGTAACTACACTTGAAGGAACAATTCAAGAGGTCTCTTGTCAACTTCTGTAGCAAAGCTCCACCAGAGCCGAAGGCAATATTTTCAATACTCCACTTTTTTTTGTTTCATGCCTTCTACAATCTCTTGTAAGGTATTAATATCCACTCCATCCCCTTGAATAACTCTAAGATACGGTGGCAGCAACTTGTAGCCTTTCGAATTCTCAACAACAGGAAATTTCTTACCTAAAATATCCAAAACCTTTAATACAGTGTCAAGAGGATTTCCAGAATCAGGTCTGATTATTAGTGGTGCCTCTGTACTTCTTGATACTATTAAATGTCTTAGGTCTTCTCCCCATATTTTCTCACACGCATTATAGATGTCATAGCTGTCGCTGACCACAGATACAGGCACTGAGGAAAACTGTGTTACTATATGTTCAAATGCATCTTTTTCATGGTCTTTCCCTCAAGCTGTTATGGTACTGTGTTCCGCTGCTGGCAGAGAATAGCCCAGAATGGGATCTTTTGTCCCGTAGTATTTTTTAATCAGAGCAATTCCTGCTACTGTATCTGTTCCTTTGAAGTTAACCAAATGAGCAGATGCTCCTATGCCAGCAGTCTCTTGAGAAGAGACTCCTCTGTAGCCAAAATCATGTAACTTGTATTCCAGACCATCTAAGTTACCGGAAGTTTCTAGCAAATATTTGGCCAATATTTTCTTCTGCTCTCTAGAATTTGTAGCCACTGTGATTGGATACCAGGACTGAACAAGAATAGTCTCAATCCAGTTTGTGAGCCAGTAGCACTCGGGGTCTGTGTTCTCCACTGTGAAGAGGACGTTTCCTTTGGGAACCACGGAGCCCTCAGGAACAGCCTTGACTTCTATTGGAAGATGCCCGTCGTATTTCTCCAGAATGTAGTTCCATCCCTTTTCATTAAAGACATCATCTTGGAAATGTTCTCTGTAGACCTCTTTGGCTTCCTGGATTTTCTCTTTGGTCACTACTTTGCCTTTTAAGTACTTATTAAGAATGTACTGCAACCCATAAAATACTGTTTCCTCGTATTTCACCTTCCTTACTTTGGAGTTTTCTGTCTTCTTTTCACGGCATTCAAAGTAGGAATAAACTTTGCTTGTGTTGGGTGGGTATTGTTTATAGTGAGTAACCTGCGCAGCGAGGCGCGGGACCCAGCGAGGACACCTCACGCCCGCCCTCCAGCGCCCGGCCCCCGGGGGCCGTTACCTAACCAGAGATGCTGAATTTTATCAATGCCTTTTCTGTACCTCTTCAGATGTTCATGATTTTGTCTTTCATTCTATTGATATGGTCTGTTACTTGTATTGATTTATGAAACATACTTTCCTCCTTGCAATAAATACCACTTGATCATGGTGAATCATCTTTACAGTGTGCTATTAGATTGTATTTTGCTGAAGATTTTTGCACTTTTGTTCATCAAGGATATTTATCTGTAGCTTTCTGCTTTGTTGTGTCCTTGTCACGTTTTGCTATCAAGATAATATAATACTGACCTCATATAACAAATTTGTACTACACGTGATCTTAGCCAAAAGGCCGAGAAGCGATCATATAACCAATTTGTAATAATTCGCTCATCTTCTATTTTTTAAAATAATTTAGAAGTATCAGTGTTAATTCTTCTTTAAATGTTTGGTTTGGCAATGAAGCTATCTGGCCCTGGGATTTCATTTAAGGGAAGTTTTTTTTTTTTTTTTTAAATTACTGATTCAAAATTGCTACTTATTGTTGATTGCTATGTGTTCTGTTTCCTCGTGTATAATCTGTTTTCCCAGGCCATAGCAGAGAGCAGGATTGGAAGTGGAGCAGCCAGGACTTGATCTGGTACTCATATGGAATGCCAGCACTGCAAGCAGTGGCTTTACCTTCTATACCACAGCACTGGCCATACATTCATTTCTGCAAATAGGGCGTTAATGTCTCCTATTTTGTTGTAATATAGTCTATCTCTCCATTTAAGTATATTAGTATTTGCTTTATACATTTGGGTGATTTAATATTGGAACTGGGCTTGTTTTTCTGGAAATTCTAAGCTGTTAGAGTGAGCTATGCTCTGTCTGCTTCTGAGGGAGGTTCTCTACATTGTTATACCTATCAGCCAGCTTTGATGCGGACTGGGTATAAGAATTATCTCTAAAGACCACAGGATTCCTCTGGGCACTGAAACAGGTCCAGGATCTCTGTTTGTAGGTATTGGACTGGGGATAGGAGCCCTTAGAATTTCTTCAGTGCTATTTTTTATCAGCCTGATACTGTATTGCTAAATAGTCCAGTGATTTCTTGCTATCTACCCAAGGTTATAGGACTAGTGACAGGCAAATTCTTAGCTACTACAGCAGGTCCTATATGTCACACACTTGGACCTCACAGTCACTAGGCCCTGTGCAATCTTGGGGGTTCACATCAATCCCTCAAGAGGGTAGTGGTGCTACATAGTCCAAAAAAATCTGTCACGCCTGGGCTCAGCTTACTGCCTGATATTGGATCAAGTTCAGAAACTCTATCCACTGACAACTTGCCTCAGAATCAGAACCACTAGGACCTATCTAGTGTTGGAATTTTTCAGCCCAGCACTGATTTAAAAGATACAATAGCTTCTTCCTTTGTCTGCCCAAATTTGGAAGAGTGTGTTAAAGAGGATCCCTGGGAGGCCTGACTGGCCCCAGACTGGTCATACCTGGATCCAACAGTCTCTGGATCCCACAAATTTTGGGTTTGCCCTCCAAGCCCACCTGAGGTGGCAGTGACACACACCCAAGTGAGTACCACCTCTCCAGAGTACAAGTGCCTGATGCTCAGCACATTTGGAGGCTCAATTTGTGAGTGCCAGCCTAGGGCTTTACCAGGTTTTGGGACTTAGAATAGGCCTAGCTCCCAGCCTAGAATAGGCCCATCTCCAAGCTATCAGGTGTGGTCCTAATCTTCCTTTCTTAGCTTCTCCACTTCACAGGAGTTTGACTTTCTTTACCGTAGTTGGAGGAAGGGTGATGGAGGCTTCCTGGCTGTGCAAACTTTAAATGTTTACTCCCTAGGTAATGAATGACCCAGGTGCAGGGACTCATGGGCTCAGCTGACTTATTTTATTTTATTTTATTTTGCAGTGGCGTTCAATTCACTTTCCCTTTTTATGTAGTACTCCTTGGAACTGGAAAAGGAGTAGCTTGGGAAACCTTTTCTTTCTTGCTTTCTTCAATGTAATTTTTTAAATGTTTGCAACAAGACAAGGTATCGTGGTTTCTCACCTAGCATTTGTAGCTCTTGTGAAGTGACTTGGTGTCTGTATAGCTGTTCACACTGGTGTCTCTGCAGGGAGGTGACAACTGGAGCTTCTTACTCAGCAACTATCTTGGCTCTGCTCCTATTTTTTTTTTTTTTTTGCTGATAAATTTTAGAAAGATATTAATGCTAGAGTGAGAAATATCATTGTCACAGATATGCTTATGTTTCACTTATTTTTCTATTCCAAAGAAAATCCAGGAATTGCGTAGGTCTTGCTGTTCCTCGTCTTTTCATTTTTTTCTTTCCCCATCTCAGAGTAAAAATGTCTAGAATTGCTCTCCTTTAGACTGTAAAAATTCTATGAAATTTTAGCTGAAGCATTATAAAATGTTCTATTTGTTGTGATTTTTTTCTTTGCTAAAATCATGTAAGCCATGGTTTTAGGGCAGTCTTTTATGAATGAATGTTTCATCAACACAATGCTCCCCATAACAAGAAAAAAAAATAGCTAGAGGTAAATGAAAGTAGAGAAACAAACTCATTTGCCAAACAGTACTTAAAAGCTGAAAAGCTGAATACTTAACAAAAACTAGATGTGTGTGCAGCTTTTCCAGTTATACATTGAGGTCATGACAAGAGGAAGAGCATGGATGTCTTTTTATGTTTCTTGTTTTAAATAAAGCACATGCAAAATTAATATTCAACCTAAAATATAACAGCTGGGAGGGAAAGTACTTAGTCTCAAGCTTTATAACTAATGAGTTCATCAAGGTCCTTTCTGTGCATTTCCAATTCCTTTTTAATTCAAATGTAACCTGCCATTTCCTCTTGAGTGTCTATGATCTTCCCTTTATAAAAATTTTATTTTAGGGCATTTCAAGGAGAGCTTATGTGATTTCTAGAGGCAAAGGCCTTGATAAGGACCTCAGTATAAAAGGATTGAACAGTCTAATTTGGAACAGATGAATGCTTTAGTCATTTGGAACATTTGTTCAATAATTTACCAGGACACATTTCAACTTGCTTTCAAACACCGATCAACATATAAGTAATTGAGTGGCACTGTGAAGTTGAAAACTCCAGTGAGCAGTCTATTGGCTTTTTGAGTTTGAAACTTTCAAATAAACCACATTAGAAGGCAGGAAGCAATGAGATCATTATGAAATGAACTGTGAAACTCCACCTGTGCTGCCCAAAGGATTTTTATTTTTGTCTCTGGGTTTTCTAAATTTATATTGTTAGTCTAATCCAAGAATTATCCATACAAAATGAATAAATTATATATATTATCTCAAGGAACAACAATATATTTATATTTAATAAATGTATTTTGATTACATGTATGAGATCACAATTTTGGTGTAATTTTTTTCTGATAACTATGAAAGTTAAAGAAGATTTATGTATGTATTTATAATACTCTGACAATGATCATCAGTGATTGACGTCACTTATTTTTCATATAGAAAAGAAGACCATGTGATTGCTTGAATTTTACAAAAAAAGTGTACAATTTTCTTATTGTGAAGCCACAGAATCAACCAATACTAATACTAACATAGATAGATTATTACTGTACCATAGAAATGCATAAATGGCACATATTCATTAGGATGAAAACAACAAGAATGTAGATTCATGAAACAGTCAAAATTTTCAATAAATATGATTGTTTGAAATAATTAGGTCTTTGGGTAAAGATTACCTGTGACTCTGACATTACATATGGGCACTGGTTCAAGTCTCAGGAGCTCCACTTTCAATCCAGCTCCCTGCTAATGTGCCTGTGAAAACAGTGGCAGATGGCCCAAGTCTTTGGGCCCTTGCACACATGTATGAGACCCAGAAGAAGCTCCTGGATCCTAGCTTAAGCCTGGCGCATCCCTGGCTGTTGTGGCCATTTAGGGTGTGAACCAGCAGATGGAAGATCTTCCTCTGTCTTTCCTCTTCTCTCTTTTTCTCTGTAACTATGCCTTTCAAATAAATAAAAATAAATCTTTTAAAAAAAGAATTGAATCTTTGATAAATGTGATTCAGCTGTTTATGGTGTGCTATTATGAAACCTCTTATAGTGAGCCTGTTCCATAGTCTAAGACTATGAATTTTGCAGTATTTTGCATGGGGAGAGAGTAATGGGAAGTTTGCGCAATTTTATCCCCAGTACTAATTTTTGCACTAGCAGGCTGGGTAAGAAGGAAACTGTTTGATACAGCAGTAAAGACTCTGATGTTAATTATGTCTATGGCAAGATGTGGACTGAATATTTCAAAGAGCAAATAAGAAGGCCATTTTATCAGAAGTACAAATCAAGCCCTAAACTTCTAGTTATCAACAGGATATGCTCAGGTACCCAGTGGTGACTTGGCTTCTACCCTGAGGAGTTGCAGGGAATCTTGTACTGTCTACTTTCAGCTCTACTTCCACTGCAGTTTCAACCAATGCCCTGGACAATTCATCAGCCAAGGTTCTTGCAATCTAAGAGGTTAAACTTGAATACATTAAGTGTACGTAGTTAATGTTGACAGGAAGGGAAGTGATTTCCTTAGCATCTTTGACTCATTTCTCTTTGCTGTTGTTTATTTGGGTTTATAACATTTAACTCTTATGATGATCGTGAAGACTAAATATAATCATGTAAAATGAGCTGTATTGTGCATTTCCATGTTTTTAAATGTGGTCACCAGAATTATTGGATATAAAATTTAATCTTAGTGTTAATGCAATGTTTATTTCCATATATGTATAATTTCAAAAGACTGAATTGTTTTTTCTTGCCACTTTACAGTTCAAGTTAATTGGTTAAAATTTTTTAAGATTTATTTATTTATTTTAAAGTCAGACTTACAGAGAGGTTGAAACAGCAAGAGAGAAGGAGAGACAGAATTCTATCCACACATTCACTCTGCTAGTAGCAGCCACAGCCAGAGCTGGGCCAATCAAGCCAGGAGCCAGGAGCTTCATACCTCTCCCACAAGGGGTT